CTCCAGTGTTATACATTTCGCTCGAGATTTACCAATAAGAAATTGCAAATAGTAAAATTGAATCTCGATTGAAAAAAATGGAAAAAATATCCCAGATTTACCAATCGAAAACGGCATTAGAAAATGTTGAAAAAGCATTGTTTATATTTGATTTGAAGTAAATTGCCACACTACTCTATGATATGCTATGAGATACTGCTAGCTTGTGCTACGAGGGCTGGCTTTTAGGTTTTGCACCTAACAATGAAAACACAGTGATTAATTAGTGAAAATAGTTTTATTCTTTTTCGAAGTATTTTCCATGGAGTATTTCGTTCTTGGACGACCTTCACAAAATTCGCCGGGGAGAAAATAACAATCACGCTTAAACTCATTAAACTAGCATTTTACAATCGCTGAATGTGGTGTTTCATCAGTAAATATCGAACTAAGGTAAGCGATGGATTCTGCTTAATCCGCGTTGAAAATCATATAAAATCATCGTACGAAAATGTTCATTATTTAATTCTATTTTTTCGCAGACATGATTTAGTATCGACGATGTAAACACCACAATAAGCGCGCAAACTAAAATGTTACAATGATTTTAAAATGTTAAAATTCATCTGGCAAAACTTAATGTTGCTTAGACGCACGGCTTAAAAGGCAGCCTACGTATTCAGCAAAATGTAACATTTGGGTGAATAGAGTTCAATTTTAATTAATGTTATATTCTTTTTCCCCTAATGTTACACAGGATGCACTTTTTGTTGTTCTTAGTAATGTACTGTCGGTATCTCAGCCTCAGTATTTCGGTTCTTCTTTAAATAGGCATTTTCTTTTGTAAGCATATGTTATATCAAAAATAACATATGAAACAACAACACTGCTAGCTTATATCGTCCAACCTTTTTGAAATTGCTTAACTAATAAGCAGCTTAAATCACATGGTTGCCAACACTAAAAATTCGTCTATTGTGAACGATTTTTGGAAGTACGTGCAAAATTTCAGTTAACTGTCAACGTTTGATTTCGTTAATTATTTGTTTACGTGTCGTCATTGTTCGTAACAAATACATTATTATTTCTCTTTATTATTTTACTGTTAAAAGGCACAAA